TCTTTCTTTCTTTCTTTCTTTCTTTCTTTCTTTCTTTCTTTCTTTCTCTAATATTTTAAAAAGCAAACGTTTTCAGAAAAAAAAGGGGAAATTGCCCTTTTAATTTTTCAACCTGTGAGGGTCCTTTATTTATTTATTTATTTTAACTGCTGACCGAGCTGGTTTGGGGCTGAGCATGAGAAGAAAGCAACTTTGAATTTTTTCTGTTTTGTTCTCATTCTGCCTTCTGGAACAGCGAGCTGAGAATAGAGGGGCAGAAACAGAGGCATCCCTCGGGCGGAATTTCAGCCACCGCAGAGATGGTGTTTGGAATGGAAGGGGTGGAACTAGGAGCTGATGGCAAGGTAAGATCCCACAGAATGGAGCAAACCATTTGTGTTGTAATGTGGAGGTTTCCATGTCCGTGTGTGTGTGTGTATGTGTTGGTTTCCATATCCCAAAGGTGCTTTCCCCTCTTTTTTTTTAATAAAAATGTTTTATTGATTTCCTGCTGTTTACATTTTATTAGTGCTTAATAAACATCATGTTCTCTGGGTTATTTAATTCACTTAACAATACAGATTACATTCTTAATCTCCGCCTCTTTTTTTCCCAACCACTGGTAAAATAAAGTGCATTCTGTGTCTTCTTTCGGTTTAATCTTCAGCGCAAGTCTGTCCATTTCTGCACAATCTAGTATCTTCCTAATTATCTCTTTGACTCATGGTGTTTCTTCATTTTTTTCACTATTGTGCAAATATAATCCTCGCTGCTGTTAAGATGTGAAATAATATATACTTTGCTTATCAAGTTTTTCTGATGTTATACCTAATTTAAAAAGTTCAAGTTTAAAATCTACATATTTTCCTATCATCTTTTCTAACCATTTATGTATTTTTGCCCAATTTTTTTTTGCTTTAACACAAGTCCACCACATATGATAATATGTGCCTGTTTTTAGGTTACATTTCCAATAGGCAACTGAACTTTCTTGGTTTTTTTCCTTGAAGTTCTTTAGTCAGAACTGAAGAAGCTTCTTGGATGAGAAGCAAAATGTTTCAAGGAAAAAAAGTCAGGAAAGTTCAATTGCCTTTTGGAAAAGCATCCTTGGGACATGACCTAGATGGTTAAGAATCGCCATAGACATTAGTTGGGAAGAATGTTTTTTAGAGGTATTATAAACTATTCATAATTAATTTGCTCTTAATTCCTTTTCTCTGAAACTACTTATACGCTTTGCATGTCACATTTGCCTCTGTTAAATGTTGAAGGCGCTTGCTCGTTCCATGCACAAACTTGAACTTAAAACTGGTTAGTTTTGGGTTCCCAGATTTGATTAATTTTTCAAACTCAAGAATGTTTTCAGGAGCTTGTTTCTTCCAAAAGAGGAGTTAAAGTTGAATAACAGAATAACTGGAAGTTGGAAGGGACCTTGGAGGTCTTCTAGTCCAACCCCTTGCTCAAGCAGGAAACCCTATACCATTACAGACAAGTAATGGTAATCCAATCTCTTTTTTAAAAGCTCTGGTGTTGGAGCACCTCCATCTTTCGGAGGCAAACCATTCCACTGATTAACGTTCTGATTGTCAAGAAATTTCTCCTTCGTTCTAGATTAGTTCTTTTCTTGATTAGTTTCTATCCACTGCTTCTTGTCCTGACTTCAGGTACTTTGGAGAATAGGTTGACTCCCTCTTCTTTGTGGCAGCCCATTAGATATTGGCACATTGCTATCATGTCACACCTAGTGCTTCTTTTCATCAAACTAGACATACCCACTTCCTGCAACCTTCTTCATATCTTTTAGCATCCTGTCCCTGAATCATCTTAGTTGCTCTTCTCTGCATTCTTTTTAGAGCAAGGGTCTTCAATAGAGTAGAGTAGAGTAGAGTAGAGTAGAGTAGAGTAGAGTAGAGTAGAGTAGA